CCCCCCCTTCCCCATTCGGTCTTTGGACGGCTGCAGCAACGGCCCGTGCGCAGCGCCCGCCCGCAAAGTTCGTGCTAATCTTTTTACCTTCTTCTTTCCGTCTTTCGCCAAGCACAAACCGTCGTAGTCCATTTACAGCAGTTTGAACATGTCCGTGGGTTTGACGCCAGCCGCCGCCCACTTGCGGACGTCGTCGAATCTCACGTCGACCACTGTGGGCGGCAGGACTTTAGCTTGGGCTCTTGAGACGCTCCCCCGGGGATTGTGGGTGTGCTTGCAGAAGGACTAGCGCGCACGATCAGATCCAAAACGAATGTGAAACGCACAAGAACCGCCGCAAAGGACGGAAAAAAAAGGCACCGGGAAAGTCAAGGACGGCAACAACGCCCGTCGGAACAGGGAAAACGGGATTCCTGACGGCAGCGACGAGGCTTGTCATCATCACGCACCGCTCAAGTAGATACTTCGTGTGGCCTGAGGGTTGGTATTTGGATACGCAGAGAGGCACTCGCTTGGCATGCACACGAGCATGTCGAACGAACGACGGTCACAAAAGAACTACTTGGAGTACAAAAACACGGAGTAACGGATGACGACACCACAAAAAATGAAACGAAACGAATAGACGACAATAAAAGAACGATAAAAGAACGGCGACACTTTCCCGAAGAAGAGAACACGTCAACCACGAAGACGGGTACCCCATATAGGTCACGTAGCCGTTGCAGCGGCAGAAAATAAGGGCGAGGTACGATACGAGTACAAAGGCTACCCCGAGTTCCCATCCTTACCGACGTTATGGTGGGATTCGTCGCCCCAACTCGCCACGTCATGTGGATCTTGAAAGGGCACTTGATCTGCACCACGAACAGTCACAGGACATACGTCGCAAGAGATGTGGTTATTCTTCGACGCGTGCTGAAAGGGGGCCGGCGCACTCTCCCGCGAAAATCTCGTAGTGAACTCCGGCTCTGAACATCAATAGCCTCAGACTATGTTACGCACCATGTTACTCTTCCGCATCCTCTTCTGCTTACCCACTTGGGGCGCACGCCTACGCGCCACCCCCGAGTGTTTGCAGACGATTTCGCAGAGGTAGTGCCTGCTCTTGTCGGTCGTCTGCGGACACATAGGCCGGAAGGCAAAACAATTTCATTGGGAACGCATTGGGAAACGTAGGTTGAAACGCGAATGATTCCTCCAGCTTGTTTCAGAGTGAAGACGTGACATTGAGGCTTCCCTAGGCTATACAATGAACCGCCGTGCAATCGAAACACCAGATCTGTTCAACTCACCAACTTGCCCCTCTTCTTTTGAAGGGTTAGATGCCCTTCTTCTTCGAGCTCCCCGATGACCGTGGCGAATGCGGCCTCCCACGTGTCGTAGGCTGACTCCTTCACGTCGAATGCGCGGCCAAGGTGCGCAATTCCTGCGCCATCTACGTCCCCCCACAGCCCAACTTCCTCGTCCGTGTCTTCGTCCGTTTCACTATCCGCCCCTTGGCCCTTGATCTTACCGCTGGCACATTCCTGCTCCTGCATACACCACGCATCAAAGGGCCGCGAGATTGCGCAGTCCAATCACAAGCTCAGACGAAGCTCAGAGACCTCAAGCCGACCAAATACGTTGTCGGGACTGGTATTGCCTAGTCCATTCCGAGTGCAAACGTTCGGGCCGCCGCAAGCGGGGCTTACCTTCTTGATCACCTTCTTGATCCCGCCTTATTGGTCGTCTTCATCATTGCTGTCGGCTTCGTCATCGCGGTCGACTTCATAGTCGGAGGCAAGGTCTTCATAACCGGAGGCAAGATCGTCGGAATCTCCGTCTTCATCAGGGTCGCCCACCTTCTTCCTATGCACACCAACAAAGCGGGGAAATGGACACAACCACAACGCCATCAACAATGGTCGACAGCATTCCCCCTCCCCCTTGCATCGAAACAAGTCGCGCTCGGATGACAATGGGTGTATCATACGGCATCGCAGCGGCATTGCCGTGTGCCTCCATCACTTGCCATTCAAAGTTGGTGACCGTAGCAAGCCTGCCTCACCTTTTTGTCGTTGCCTCGTTGACCTCCGCTCGATTTCCCGTCCGGATCCTCATCGTCGGTAAAGCGCCTGCCCTTCCTGCTGCTCCCCTTCGCTGTTTCCTTTTCACGCCCCGACCTTTTCTGCCCATCTGACTTCCTGCCCTCCCTGCCCTCCCCGGGCTCCGACCCCTCATCCACTCCCGACTTGTCTTTCTTGTCGGCCCCGCCCCGCCCTCCCGACTTCCTGGGAGCACCCGCACCGCTCTTGTGTACCTCCCTCGCATGCTTCACGTCAATCTCCACATTGTGAGTGGACACTGTTGACACCCTACACTCCGTGTCCATGAGGACGATATACGATACGATTTTGTCTTCCTCGTCTGCATCAACCCTCATGACTGTCCCCCATGCCGGGCTAGGTGCCGATGCTCCTGTGTGAAGGCGAGTGCCCACGCCAATCTCGAACAATCCCTGCGAGGATGGCGCATGCATGCAGCAACAGGCGGTGTTTCGCATCGGGGGATGGACTTCGTACGAGCACGCACGAACGCTGATCGTTCCTTCAGTGCGTATCCTCAGGGCTGGCGTCGCTGACTCGAAGGGGGGGGAGCGACGAAGAGAAGAAGTCTTGGGCTTGCAATACAACACGAAAATTCGAAATTATAGTCGTCACCGTGTAAAATCACCGTTGTACAATAGCCAAAGAGAGGAGGATCGTCTACACACACAACACAAACAGGTATCGGGCACATCAACAAGTACATGCCGATGTCAGATACCGTTCTGGTGTCCTCCTTATAGAAATGTACACAAGCGTCTACGCAGCACGCCCATCCGTTATTTCGTTATTTTATCCTTTTTTTGTCGTTTACTCACAATATTGACTTCTTCTGTCGTCAGCCCCACTGGCCCCCATCCTCCACTACGACAACCTAGACGACCGAACCGGGGTCACACAGGATGGGGGGGGGG